GAATGTATGGCCGACATACGGTGTGTTACTATCGCTCGTGAGACACCCGCATTCTCTCTTTCCGCTAAGACGTCGAGCGTGGAAGCTGTTCGCCCAGAAAATTTGCATCCCCGAGGCATTTCAGAACTCGGTTGCGCACTCGTCGCGCCCGTATTGCCTTTGAATTAGATACTCGTTTTCGCCACAAATTCAATAAAGACTGAGATGCTCGCGAGTCAAGATAGAAAAAAAAAAAAAAAAAAACGATGTAAAAGAAAAATTTATGCGGTGAAGATTTAGTAGATAAAAGATGTATCACAAACATCGCGAGTGCGCGTCTCTCGCTGCTATTTTGCGATAAACATAAAATTAATTTTATTACGTTTACAAGATTGCTTTTGATAAGTTTCGAGATGAAAACTGGAAAAGCAAATTTTTAAAAGCAATCATCCATAAATCAACGACGTCCTTGAAAAATTCTGACGTGTTGCAGTCAGTATATATTTCGTTGCTTTTTTTCTCGACGTTAAACGCAATCAACTTTCTCTTTGACGAGATACGTTTTCGAGAATCTCATTCAGTCTCGGGCCGGCAGTGCGCGACACTCGGAGAAGCACTGAACGGATTGAAAGAGAAATAATGTGTCGGCAATAGTCTTATATATTCGCCGTGTGGAAGAATTATTCGCGACAATCAGAAATTCGCAAGTCAGCCTTCGTTAAATTCGTAACTCACGCAGAGTCTTCCCAAACTACAGGAGTGCGCAACGCACTTCTCAGAAAAAATACAAACGTTTGCGAGGTTAGGTTTTCATTGTAAAAAGATTGTTTCGCGTAGAAGAGAGAGCTTAAGGACGTTCTCCGAATTATTGATTTTCCTAGGATTTTCTTTAAATTTGCGATATACATAGTTTGATGATCTTATTTATACGTAGCCTTTTTGGATAATAGGGGTAGCAACGTTAAATTCCAAAATATGGAAGATTTAAGTTTCAATTTTTAACATGGATTTCCTATGCCGAGTCTTTGTGAAGTGGGGTTTTTTCAAGTTACTGACGACAATTTTTGTAGGATTTTTTTAAAAAACAAGTACGTGGTAGCGGAGAGTGTCTTAATTAAAATACGATTTTGAATAATATGGCAAGCAACCCTTGTTTTCAAACTGTAGCTTTTTTTTGTTTTTTTGGGGGGGTTTTTTTGTTTTACTGGATTTATGTGCGCTGTGTACTGCAGCTATTTTTGAACTTCTGCGCAGAGTAAGCGGGTCTTAGCAGTGCTGAATGAGCTCAACTTAACTTTGTTACAGCAGTACAAACTTACTCATGAGAAGAGATATTTTAGGTTGCTAACCACTGTATTTAGGTTGCTAACCACTGTAGTCGAAGAACGTCCTTAAATACAGGAGTGAGCAAACGTCAAAGTTGACGCGCGTTTGCGACAACGTCCCACGTACACACGCACCGATTGCATAGAAATTTGAAAAAAAACGACCAACTGAAACAACGAGATTCAAATTGTTTACGCTAAAATATAAAACGCTTTACTATTGTAAGCGCCTGAAAGAGAATTCTGTTTAAATATTTCGCGCGCGCGACTTTGCCGAATGGCTTGATATGTGTTACCTTGTAGCTAATGCCCTTATCTGTTTATTATTGTAATTCCCTTGAGAAAGGTCGTATCGCGCCATCTCTAGAAACACATGTTATTGTATCGTGCTTGTTTTTGGAGATACTCGCCGATTACGCAGAGAGAAAGAGTCGTTTTAAAACCGTTGAAAAGATCGGTCGAAGATTTGAATATGTAAAGATTGAGTTTGTGTAATGTGCCTAGAGTGATATATTTGAGTTGATATGTGACCGTAAAGGAGATCGGTCAAGAAGTTTGTGAAATATTAGTTGCCGCGTTTGTAGAATGAGTTGTTGAGTTATATCATTGTAATTAATCGGAGTGATAATAAATGTATCTATTTTTGTATATAAAGTGAAGAAATGAATATTAGTTTATTTGTCCTCAAGTACACTGAGAGCAAAAAATAATTGTAGTTACCACAATTTTACTATAATTTATAGTGATTTAAGATGCCAACTATTTTTTATAGTTATTTTAACAATGCGACTTATAGTTGATTCAATAATATATTATTGTTGCCATAGCTTTAACATGCATTCATACAACCATATGCATGATTTCATACACTATAACTTGTGATTTATGTATAGTAAGTTGTACTGTAAATGTGATAATAAG